TATGATAAAAATAAATATTTTAATAAAAATATCCTTTAATAAAGAATTTATATAATTCTTAAAAAAATATCACATGATATTAATTTTTATAAAAATTTATTAATCAGTGTGTCCAAAATATAAATTAATTTTTATAAAAATAAAAATATTCAATATTTTAAAAATTAATATATTGAAAAATTAATTTTTATTTTAATAGAATAATATTAAAATAATATATTAATTTTTGAAAATTACATCAATCAACGAAGTTAATACATCAATATCTTATCAGGCATTATCCCTCATCCTTAGGTCGGATTAAGTTATACATCATTTTGATGTATTAAGGGATTATGCTGTATAAGCTTATACTATACGATGGTCACACCAAACAACTGGAAATGTCATAACGTATAGTATAAGCTTATACTATTATGCCTTATACGTCACACACCAAACAGGCTCTAAGTGTGCAGAGACAACAAAATTTTGCTGTTACATGAGACTACAATTACCCAAAAAGGAAAGCTGGTTTTGTTAAAAAAAAAAAAAGGAAAGCTGGACACGTGACTTTTAAGAGCCTGTTTGGATGAGCTTTTTTTTAAGAAAAAAAGTACTCCTCGTTTTTAGTTAGTTTGGATGTCTGCTTTTTAAAAAAGGAGAAGTCACAAAAAAGTCAAAAACTTACGGTTTTAAGAAGCTGAAAATTTTAACTTCTAAAAAAAGCAGAAGTCAAAAGTCAAATATTTTTTTCAAAAACTAAATATTTTTATAAAAATATAAATAGCTTTAATTTTTATTAAAAGTACTTTTAAAATAAGGAAGTGATAAAAGTTACTTTTTCTAAAAGTTGAAACAAACGACCTCAGTAAAACATATCTAAAAAGCAATGCTAAACGCACCGTTTAGCTTTTGTCAACTAATACTAACACCCAATAGAAAAAAAACAGCAAGCAATATGCATCAGCAAGCAAATAAACTCACCGTTTTACTAACAACATGTAATAGTAAAAGGCAGCAAGGGTGTGAGTTGAGTTGGTTAAGGATTTGACTCATATTCCATAAAGACATATTCCACAAAGATATGGGTTCGAATCCCACCAATCAATATGAGGATTTTATTAGTGGACGAGGTTGAGAGGTGTATTGTGGCTTTGGCGGGATATTAATATCTAACCCCACTTAAATTTTGGGACACGTTTTGATATTAAATAATATTTTATACATATAATATAATTTATATTTAATACATATAACATCTCATGATAAATCATATTACCAATCAAATATTTAATTTTTATAACATAAATATAAACAAAAATATTTTTCTCTACTTTGTTAATTTTTCATGCCAAATTTAATAACAGAAAAAATTGATTTATAATTTTTTTTATTTTTGATTAATAAAATAAAACTAAGATTTAAAAAAAAAAAATTGTCGGATAAGCGTCGAAGCGATGACCTCATATCAAAATTTTTTGCCTGCGTGTCAAAATGTATCAGTGTTTCACACATGTCCCCCATGCGAAAAGAATTGCTTGTCCGTGCTTCGTTGCGTATATAACAGCAACAAAAATACTGCACACGCACACAAATGATAATGCTGCTAGTGTGCTTTGTATAATAGATCCACAGCAACGTATATTTATATAGATTTGAGAAAGGAAAAAAGTTGCAATCTTTGAGGAAATTTTTTTTACATAGAACCACTATACAGAAAAATGTATTCAACAAAAACTTTGCAAGCAAGGCAATAATAAAAAATTCTGACAAGATTAAACACCAGTCCAATTATGAGCATGATATGTGTAACACAAACTGTGAATGTAATTATAAATTTTTTTAGAAATTATTCTATACAAGATTAAACACCAATCATCTTTAAATGTAAAAAATTAGTGACATATAAAAGTATGCCAAATAATTTTTTGCATTTTATACCCCAATTATATAATTCCCCCAGCAGATAATAAAGCTCTATTGAAATTAATCATTAGATTCTAAGGATAAAAAGAGAGTAAAAAACTAAAAACATGGTAGAAACGGATGGAGCAATTGTATGCCAAAAAAGAGTGGATTTCAACTAATAAATCATTAAAGCTATCATTACATAAACCTAGTAACTTCAATCCATATTAAAAAATTGCAAACACTCGAAAGGATATATTATTTCCCTCGATGGTTTTGTGTAAAAAAAGAAAAATTTCAGTACCCAGAAAAAAAAGTTATCATTTGATTTCCTATAGTTGTTCTTCGACATAATTAATAAACTAATACTTGAAATATTTTCCTATTAAATGAGCAAATCAGTCATACCACTGATGCGGCAAGAAAGCTAAACTCGTCATTTTCAAGGAATTCACGTGCAAAACTTTCAAATTGGGATGACGAACATGAAAAATTGGAATTAGGGTTTACAAATTTAGGAATAAATTGTAAAAAGTTAAAACAAAAATGGATAAATTAAATTAAATTCCATTTAAAAAAGAAACTTTAGGAGGGTAAAATTAAAAAGTTAACCCGGATACTTAAAAAGGGACTTTGGATTAATTTGTACATTTTCAGCCTCTCAAAAAATTTCTAAACCTCATTAGGAAATTGGAATAAAAATTTTGTGGAAAAAGTTTACTCATTCCATATTCATAGTAATTTTTTTAGTTGAAGGACATGTATAATTTTGGTGATTGAGGACATTTTCCTATCGAATATATGAGGAGAGATATTCTTACTATCAAAATTTTCTACTACCAACTCACTACCTATCTAATCACCATTGGATCGATATCTTCTCTTTTTTCAAAAAAAAATTTAGCATTCTCTCTCTTTGATTCAATTGTGATTAGATATGTAGTAAGTTAGTAGTAGAAAATTTTGGTAGTAAGAATATCCTCCATCCGAATATATAGCTTCATTTTGTTCGGCTTTTCTTATTTGTCAGTTGTGAGTATTAGTTACCTGTTCAAATACATGCTTCATCTCTCTCAAACACGCAGTTTCTATAGCAAACTAGTGGAACTTCCATTCTTGTTCATGCCATCATCTACTTTGGCCTCATCACTATCTTCCTCATTGGCATTGGCGTTCCCATCTACACTGGCTAGCTGGAGCACTGAAACACTCCTCTTTGGGGTCACTTATCTCAAGTAAATAAAATGTGTATTTCTTCCCATTGATATGGGATTTGAATGTTGCGCCTATGTAACATTCTACCATTAAGAATCACATTTTCAATTTCTATGATTATTTCTCAGTTCCATCTTCAATTTCTATCAATATTTATAAGTTCCATTGTTATATATCAATCAAATTAAATGAGAATTTGTATCCATCCTACTAAATTACAATTAAGCACTTCGCCATTTCTCTTTGTCTATCCATCTTAATTGACCTCATTGAGTTTGCATTAAGATTTGTCATTTGTATTCTATCAATATGATTGAACTTTGGAGTATATAAGTTTGCGTTCAAAAGCTCTATATATCAAGCATAATTAACGAATGAGATTAATCCCTTATATATATATATATTTTTTAATTCAAAAATTTATTTTCCTTGTGACATTACAATAATTATCAAATAAAAAGGCTCAAAATTGATAAATTTATCTAAAAAATAAACAGCCAAAGCTTAGACATCAGCTTGTTTGAATTTTTTTTAATTGCCGAAATATTTACTTACCCTTGGATAAAGACGTTACACAACTAAAAAAAATGCAGCTGATCCTGGTATGAGAAATCTTAATTTATTTTAAAACTAACACTTGTATTGATTGAAATTTATTGAACAATATTTTAATATTAAAGCATATATTTTTATACAATTTATGTGCGGTGCTTTTACTAGATTTAGTTTAGTATTTTCTTTTCCAGATAACTACGCAAAGGAAAAACTAATTAAAACATAATTTGGGGAAAGCTATGCTCCTCCTATCCCCAAATATTCTCTCCCAATTATATGACAAATTGCATCTTCTTATGACAAGTGTAGGCATAGGTGACAAGCCAATATATTGTAAATGTGAGCTATCAATGTGTTGTCACTCACCAAAGTCAATAATAATGACCCCCTCGGTTACGAGAGCATTTTTAATGCTTATTATCATTCAAAATAAGACACCTATATTTAATAAGTCATTAATGATCATTAGCGATTGTTTCCTTTTTTCTTTCGCTAATATAAGTACTAAGTAACGGTGCAACGAGAACATTTAAGGGTTTTATGTTTATCATGTAACATGATATAACATCACTTTCCTACACACACATTAAAGAGGTAGGGCTCACATATTTTTCTTTCTCTTTCATCATTTCACTTTCTCTCTCCATTTTTATGTGTGTTGGAAACAACACTTATATCATGTAACATAACACTAATAAAACTCAACATTTAAAATATTTTCCTCAGTCACGAGTGGTTGGTTAGGTAGGATGATGTTGTCAATCAATGCTATCATGTGTCACTGCTAAGAAGTTGTGCGGAGGCAAGGGTTATACAATTCCTCTTTAGTTGCCTCAACAATTACGCTTGGATCAACACAATAAGCCTAGGCATATAGTAAATCTGCCGCCATAAAACTGAGATGGTTGCATAATAGATCGAAATTAAAGCTATGTACTCATATAGTAGACAAAAAACATATATCTTTTGAGAATTCAAAGGCACATGGTTAATACACATCACTCTGTCAGCTAGATACGTTTCTGCAACAGTCCTCGAAGATTTATGTCATCTCATTCAATTATTCATAATAAATCTCTTTGCTAAGGTAATTGTCCAGCGCAGCATACCCGTGAATTTAACTGCTAAAATTAAGGCGACTACTGCTACAAATTTAGTCTGTGTACGTGAATTCAAATACCATCAAACATTCATCTGTACTAGAAGATCTGCAATTTCATTTTCAAATAAACATACATACATGTTTATTATTATATTTTTATTTTTTTTTAAATTACGTCAATCATCAATGGATGAGAATTCTGAAATGGTTCAGAGGTGTTGCACATTACTTGCCACAATTTAGCATAGGGTCTCACAGCACTAACGATTGACTAATCGTGAAACCATGAATTCAACGACCTATAGTTCTAAATCATAATTCAGTATAATATTGTTATCCTCGACACTTCTCTAGTTATCCCATGCACGCTAGTATTTCACTTTACCTATCTGTGCCCACTGTCGAGCTATCTACGAATTCTAATGCCAGGAATGTCTTTCAAACCCATTTTTAGTGCAGTTTTTCGGAATAGAGCAGGAGGCCTCTGTAAACCAATTGATTCAGAAAATTGGCTTGCCAGCTCAGCTATAGTGGTCTTCTCCCTCCCAATTTCCCTGATGGAGTTATAATAACCAAGCCAAGCATGATAAGCTGCTTCTTTGATGTCATTATCAATCTTTGCCATTGAACGCTCAACCTGCAAGTATAAATAGATCATACAACAACTGCATGCATATTCTAGAGAACAGGTATGGAAAAGCCAAGCACAAAACAAATGTGGCAAATCACTTTTACATTCTTAATCTACAATTATATAAGTCAGGACTCAAGATGAATTATGAGGATCAAAACATCTATATACAAAGGGTATAAATCACAATAATGCATACATGAGAACCTGAGCAAGAAATGTACCTTAAGCTTTGTCTGTGGATCTATATCTGGTAAGTGGAATTTCTTTAGAGGGAGATCCTTGATTTCATCTAAAAAATACTCTTCCCATGGAGCAATCAACAATATGCCTTCCCCTTCTTTGCCTTCTCGTCCTGTTCTTCCAAGACGATGTATATATTGTTCACGGTCAGGAGGAATTCCCACCTGGATTAACCACTATCCAATTAATTAATAGTGAAGTAAAACTATCTATTATACTGGCCTAATTAGCATTCCCTTGAACAATATTCAGGACACGGGGCAAGTTGTTCACAATGAAATTATTGGCTATGGCACTGTAAAAAAATTTAAAAATCCATGTTTTACTTGATAATATTAGCAAAATACTATTCCCTATCTCATAAGGAACTTTGTTTCAGAAGTAGTTAATTCACCATTATCAAACCACCCCCCCTGCAAAAAAAAAAAAACACCGGAAATTTCCAAGGAACACAGCCCAAGTACAGAAAAATGTGAGTGGAAACACATTAAAATATTTAAAATATTTAAGCATACCTGTATGACTAAAGTAACATCAGGATAATTCATTCCACGTGATGAAACATCAGATGAGACAAGAACCAGTTGTCTGGATTGCCTGAACTCATCTGATATGCGAGCTCGATAGAGCTGAGGTTTTCGAGAATGTATCTCCCTAACATTCATTTTCATTTCCCGGAGAAGGTGATACATGAGAGATGTAACCATCCCAGTTATACAGAAAACAATAACCTGAATGCAAATCTACCAGTCAAAACCACAAATTATATAACAAAGCAATTCAAACCCTGAAACAGAAAATGTATTAACCTTATAATCAGGTGCTTGCAAGATATGCTCCTTCAGAATATTGTATACTATTTGAAAATGTGATTCATGTGGGGCAATAAGATAAGATTGCTTTACCTGTGATAGCAAACCAGAACAAGCATTAATGCCTATCACTGGAAAATTTCAATACAATAATTAAAACATAATCAGTTTGAAAGAAATATACAATAATTAAAACAGTTAAACAAAACAAGAAAAGAAAAAAGAAGCTTAATGGTCAAGAAGTCAATCAAATGCGTATTTTATTTATGCAACTTTTAGAGTATGACACGAGTTACTGTAAATTGCCTGGACAGGAGTTTCCACACAACCCATTCCAACTGTATCGACAAATGTGTGTTCCCTTTTCAAAACAAGCTGAGATATACGACGGACCTGCATATTTTTAAATCATCAATTGCATTGTTGACTAAATACTGTAGCAACACAAACCTACTCATAAGAACCTGAGATTGAAAATTAAAAAAAAAAAAAAAACCACTCCCCGTCAAACCTGAGATTGAAAATTAATTATATATAAAAAAAAAAAAACCTAACCTAACCTCCTTTGGGATGGTTGCCGAAAACAGCAAGGATTGTCTTTGACGGGGCAAACAATCAACAATTTTTTCTATATCCTTTCGAAATCCTAGGTCCAGTAAATGATCTGCTTCATCAAGTACAAGCATCTGCAAGCCCATTAATCGTACAGATATTCCAGACTTATTCTCAATATGATCCAGCAACCTACCAGGTGTAGCAACAAGTATCTGCAAAATTTAATACAAGAAATACAAAATCATTATGCTTTGTGTTTTACCACACAAGATCAGCAGCATTTTTTTTTTCCCATGCTCTTTCCATCCCATCCTCCCCTCCCCTCCCCCAACCAAAAAAGCATTAGCCTTACACTCTAAGAAGCCACACAATGGGAAACATAAGCATTTAGATATGACACAAAACCTGACATGGATCTGATTCAAGGCGTTTTTGGTCAACTTTAAATCGTACACCTCCTACTAGAGTCTGCACCCCAATGCCATTGTGGTATTTCAGTATAACCTTTGCTTCAGCAGCAATTTGACTAGCAAGTTCTCTGGTGGGGCAGAGAACTAGAACAAGTATTGGAGGCACACGTTGAGAGGTATTGCTACACATAGCTTTCAGAACTGTTTCAATAGCAGGAAGCTGTTTGCATTCAACATAATTGATAGAAAGAATCAAAATAGGATGCAGTGCTTTAAATGAACATAAAAGCACTAGGGTGTACCAAAAAAGCTGCACTTTTCCCTGTGCCAGTTTTAGCTTTGACTAAAGCATCCATACCTGCAATGCAACACAGCTAAAAACATCATGAAAATCAAATCTAATAGTCATATTCGACGGACAGGAGAAATGTAAAACACGCAAAGTAGTAGGTTGAGATAAAGAATTATAAAGCAAAAAGTTTTACCACATATACGTTTTGTAAGATTAAACAAGTGGTAATAAAAATACTAATAATAAACGATGAATAGAAATTGGATTGCAACATGAGTCATGAAAATCCGTACTGAAAGAAATAGGCATCATACCATCAAGGCAAATTTTGACGCTAGCCTCTTGTACCCGGGTCATATGAATATAACCAGCAGAAGAAAGTGCCTTGACTGTCAACGGCGATATACCACACTGGTCAAATCTACAAAAACAAAAACATCCAAATAACTGACTGCAATATTACTGTTCCACAAAGTAAGCAAACATGCATATCCATCTATATCTATATCCTCTTTTTTGTTATCACCATCCCTCCCACATCATTGAAGTGAATGCTAATAATCAATACTCAATTTGTCAACACCAAATCAACAAGCACAAAGAAAAATCATTTCTATTGCAACTTGCAAGTATAAACAAACGAATACCTTGTCTGACTTAGGATGCTTTGTTGTTCCTCACCCTCACCGTGGTGCTCCTCATTCTGGGTCAACTTCCTGTGATTAAGTTGAAACTTGATCAACTCAACCTGCTGCGAAAGATCACTTCCATCGTCGTGTGACTTTGGCATCACCCTCTTCTCCCTCTTCACATCGTAATTCCCCAAAGAAGCACTACTACCCATCTTCGAATAGTTGCTCTCACATTCCATTTCATTCTCACTCTCACTGGAAGAAGAATCATTATCGTTTCTCCAAAATCTCCGCTTGCTGCTGCCGATAGCCACATTTCTAACCTGAAGAGCAGAACTGTAATCCCTAGTCTGCGTATAATTCGTTAAATTCCGATTCGAAGGTTGGGTTATCAGTTTGCGCAAATTCACCGGCGGCGATGGGATTGGGGTTGGGGTTGGGGTTGGGGTTAGGGTTAAGGGACCGTCGTCGTTGTTCCAGAGATCTTCGGCGCCTTCTGTCATAAAGCGATTGGCGAGAGACTTGATATGGTCGTGTGGAGTAATGGGGCTGTGAGTAGCGGCGGCGGCGGTGGAAGAAGGAGGTGAGACGGTGGAGCGGATGTGGGAGCGAATGCGAGCCTCGTAAAGTTGCTTCTCTTGGTCGAGAAGCCTCTGCTCTTTATCTTTGGCTCTCTTCTCGTGCATCCGCTTCCACTTCCACTTGTTTACTCCCCCCGGAAAAGTGCGAGGACCACCGCCCATGTTACGAACCACCGTCAAGTTCCACCATGCCTTCCGCCCTTCCCGAATCATCGACCACCGCATACTTCTGCCGTAACCACCAACCTCGATAAACAACAAATGTTTTAAGGGTTTAAGGGTTTAAGCTCACCACACCCGACATAGTGAACACACGAAAACCTGATTCCATTAAGTACAAAAAGTATATTATTATTATTATTACAAATATATTAAGTAAGTATAATACTAAAATTTGAAAGCATTTCAATTTGCTCTATGTCCGAGTAGTTTATCAGGCGAGGTATGAAGGACTTTTTTTTTTTTTCTTTTCAAATTAACCAAACATTAATTATTTCCGAGTTAGTTTCCTTCTATATCCTTACAAATTTCAATTTAAGCCCGGTATGGTGGCACATGGATATTTAAACTGGAGTATGGGATAAATCAAAAATAAAAAATATTTAAATAGTAAATAAAAATTGAACCGAAATCATTTCCTTTTCACTCATCTATCACAATTTGGTTGAAGGGTGTTTCTTCATCACCCTAATTTAGATTTGCTTCAAAATCATTCCATCTGTGCAAAATTAATTTTTATAAAAGATACGAGGTGTTTTCAATTAGGCGCAATACTTATAAAATGTGTAACATTTTCTCCTAATTAAACCTTTGCTTACTCTAATTCAAATGTAAAAACTTGAGGATGAATTATTTAAAACTGATTTACAATTTTTTAAACTCTATTTTCATCACAGACTAACGTACCACAAAAATGATAAATAAATAAAATATTAATTATATTTCGGATATTAACTTGGATCAAGTAACAAAAGAACAAGAGTTTAAATCCTGAGGACTTCAGCCTACCAAAAAAAAAACATATATATATCCTGAAGATTTCATGTCATCCATAGCTCGTAAGTTAGGTAATTTTGAATTTTTCTATGCACATCAAATCAAATAATTAAAAAAAGATATTAACAATTCAAGGCAGGTCTGATGCTAAAAGAAAAAAGAAAACACAATTCATTGACAAGAGGTCCTAAAAATAACATGAATTCGGTTAGTTAATCACTGGCGGCAGACATTGAACTGTCTTTTCCTCTTCAAGATATTAAAAAACCAGTTAACGGAAGAATATATGTTCCCTTCAACCCTTAGAATGGCTCCTGGCAGCATTTCGTCTGGCACAGCATCCCACAAAGTATATAATAGACTGGCATTATACAAAACAAAGGTAAAATGGAATTAAGGCATACATACAAACAAAGACCTTATGTGATTGTTGTAATCTTACAAATAGGCCAAGAATGTCTTACCAAGAAAACAAATAAGACAACATTAAATATTGCAACAACCCTCCATTCGGTTTTCATGTATTGTGCCACGCCAGCCCTGAGAGGAAAACAAAAAAAATGGCAGCGTGGTGAGGCAATGTATTACTCATCTAGAAAAGCAGAAATAGACCAAATGATGGTAGCTTAGTTGGCGCATGAAAACTGAGCAGATAGGGGTGAGAGCATGTGGGTTATACAAAAAAAAAAAAACAGAAATGGAGCATGGGATATGGGATATGCTTACTTGCAAGAATCACAATCATAGCATTTGATGGCCCGAGAATTTTTGTACCGCTTGCAGTCTTTGTTAGTGCTAACTGGATGAAAGGTCAAGTCATAGTAGGATGCATTTACAGCAGGATATCCACATCTAAGTAACATAAAGTCCCAGGGTATAAGAATATTAGAAATGTGCAATGATTTTCTTACCTAAAAAATAAACTATACTGTAAAATAAACAAGGAAAATTCTTGGGAGAGGAGGGAGAACCAGAGAACAAAACCTACTGGGAAGGTGGTCGGCAGCAGCCAGCCTCAATTGCGGACAATTTAGCTGATTTATATTGTTTAAGAGTCTGCATAAAAGGTTGGAAAGGGACAAATCGCAGTTATTTGTGTAGAAGATAACAGATAATTGAATTAAGTGGAATAGTATAGGCCACTGACCATATATTTTTTAGATAGGTTATTGCAGTCTTCAGATCTGACAAGACAACCCCTCAATCGCTCCCAGTTGTGAGAATTGTTTAACTAAAACAAAGAGAAAAATGTTAAGTAAATGGATGTTGAACTGTTATTGTGAACCATCAGTTCTCTATGTTGATAAGAATCTTACCTCCTTGAGAAACCAAGAGCTATAATCTTGAAGTTTATACTCCTTGTACCTAAGCAGACAATAAGACTGTCATTCACCAAATCACAACCATGTTGTCAAGAGCTGAAATAAGAAAAATATCATTAACCAGACATCAATTCCTCTTAGAGCCAAGTATTCATATATAGTGTGATCCTTTGTAAACATCGTGAATCATGGTTACCGCTTCAAATATGAAGGACCATGATATATGTCTAAATATTTGAATACTTGACTCCTTACCTCAAGCCAGTCACGCTATGACCTGATCCATTATTAGTCACGATGAACCTGACACAATGGCAGAAGACTACACAAGATCAAAACAAAAAAGTATCCAAAATCAAAGAAGTCAATTGATTGGATGATGAAAACAATAGCAATTAATTACTTTTATTAAACATAGATTCACCTCTTTTTCTAGTATGTGAACATAGAAATTAAAATGAAAATTTTATAAAACGAGAAGTGTATTTAATTTGTTCAGTTGTTTGACACACAATGAAAAAGCCATAACACATGCATCTATTTTCATGCTCATTAGTGTTCCTCCACAATCCACCGCATAAAAATATAGGCCTTCAAGTTCTGGGCACAATTTTTCCCTACATTTTAAGTTAATAACTTAAGAAAACAATTTGAAATTTGGACAGCATGTGATTCTATCTCGTTGACTACCAAACATAAGGCAGTGAAGAACACTGGAGATGAATACTTAGTTTTAGATTGTGACTTGTGTTATTGAGAGGAACAAACCAAGGAGGACATCCATCTTATAATATCAAATCATCTAGAAACTTAGTTGCTAGAGCATCAGTTTTTTAACTTTCCATGTTCTTAGTGCATGTTCCCATGTATTTCAGTTATAAAATTTCAATCAGCCTATCTATTTAAAATCGAAATACATATAAGCTACTGTCTGAGCTTTACTTGTTTTCACAAGTTTCTTACTCATTCAAAATTAGTAATTGCAAATGGTACTGAAATGATATTTAATACCTGTTGCTGAAAATTATAATAAGGAGTTAAGGACTCATTTTGCATATCAATAACATGGAGGGAAATTTAATAAACAGAGCAACACAGCAAAGAACCATTGGCAATGCAAAGTGTTACATTTTTTTTATAACCAGTATATGAGAATCTACTCCGGCAGAGAATATATGTTATTACAAAAAATGATAATGGAGAAGCCAGCATGAACATTATCAACGAATTTGCATACTTACACCAATACTGTGAAGACAAGGATTCCAACCAAGACGAAGAACAGCAGGATCAGATACTGCAAGAGCAATGTCAAGGAGAATACCCCGAATCCAAAAATTCTTTTCTTTTCTTTTTATATTGTTAAGGGTTTAAGTTAAAGGCGAAATAAAAAAAGCTGATAAGGATACAACCCATAACAGTATGGAGCTGTTTTTCAGGGCACCCAAAAATCCCACTATGGATCTGTACAACACAGAAGCGTGATACAAGAGAATGGAGTAGCATAAAAGATTCAAAAGAAAAGAAGGTACCATAATCACAAAGAATGCAAGGCTGACATTAAGAAAATAACTGCTCCGAGGGTTAGCATAGGCACAGTGAGAGACTTTCGGCAACCATCATGACGAGTGCTCATCCACACCCCAAATATTATGACACCAATCGCTAAAAGCTGCACAATTACAATATGAAGACAGCATCGACAAAACCAAAAAAAAAAAAAAAAATACTTGACCCTACACAAAATAAACTAGCTAGAGAAAGAAAACGTCAACAGAAGTAAAAGAAGCTGCTAAAAACCGTAGCTTTAAACACGTTTAAGTGTAAACTAAAGCGGGTACGCAATAACTAACAACAGCATAAAGCCCCATGGAAGCAAACCCCATTTTTTATTTATTGGTGTTAAGATTTTCACAGGAAACGACCATGGAAGCAAACCCGTTTAGAGAGGATTGAGAACGATTTGAACATGAAAGCATAGCAAAAATACTACACAAAATATAACAGTAGAAAGCAAACAGCATTACCATGGTGAGAAAGTTTATCCATCTAGTGACAAAGGTGCTTGTTCCTACACCCATTTTTTCCGCAGAGTGCAAATCCGAGATGTCAGAAAATTCTGAGTTTGAATGTTAATTTTATTGAGAAGATTTTCTTTGTGTGTCTATCAGTTTTAGGAAAGAAAGACAATTAAAAAGAGAAAAAAGTGGGAAGTGAAATAGAGAGAGATATCATATAAGGAAGGAGCAATTTCGTTTCATCAATCACAAGAGAGACGCGCATGCATTATCTATGATCAAGATGCGCCACAGGGTGTACGCCAAGAAATCCATCACCCCACGACACGACATCCTACGCACACCCAAACATAACAGTTACCAAGACAAAGCTGTCTTTAATTTGGATAATTCAAACTTGAGTCTAACTTGGGGCCCCACACTCCAATTACAACGTTAATGAATACTATTCAAAATATTTGAGGCTTGACCAAATCTCATAATTATTAAGCAAATTATTATAAAGGCTTGATTATGATCAATTCAAAATAAAATTGTAATTGATTTTTTGTTCTTACCAAAACAGAACAAAACAAAAATATTAAAATATTATATTCTATCCAATTTTTATTTTATTTAGTGAAAAAAAAGAATAAAAATAAATAATTGATTTTAAAAAAAATAGCATAAAATAAAACAAAACTCGTATTTTAAAATTGAGAAATTATCTTAACGTTTTTTCTTTCATATATATATATATATATATAATAATTGTTTATTAACGGAAATCAAAGGTTAGAATTTGTACATACAACAATCAAATACTTGCCATGTATATATTTGAAAGCATTAAATGTGGAGAATCATAATCATACAAAGGATGAAATAATTAAATATAGGGAATCATAACTATACACCTGTCATTGCTGTACGTAAAGCGGCTGCAGAAATGATTTTAGCTCTCTCTCTATATATATATATATATATATATATATATATATATGGCAAAATGATTTCTACAGCTGCTGTACCTATAGCAAGCAAGGATTCGTGTCCGAATCCTAGGATACGGCAACGGATCCTGAGTTTTTTTTTTTTTTTAAATAGCCGCGGGGCCCACTTTTCTGTGTCAGCTGTAGATAACACTATCTACGGCTGCTGCAGAAATATATATATATATATATATATATATATATATATATATATATATATATATATATATATATGGGCTTATCATTTCTCAAGCTGTCGGAGATAACTTTATCTCTGACTACTAAATCATAACCGTACAAAGATGGATCAATGGTGATGGGAATCATAACCCTGATGGTCCCTGATTAATGGGGGGCGCCAGAATCCCTTGTTGAGCTCCTCCGAGTTGTCCATTCCAAACGGGTACATCCGGCTCCCTATTGGCCATTTGTCTATTGCCATAATGAGGACCCAAACCTTCTGTCTGCCGTGGTCCGTAATGCTGATAATCCCAATTCGCTTGTCGCCTTCTATCTCCTTGACTTTGATCTCTACCCCAGTAATGGTACTCGGTATCGTCTCGTGGAACTTCACCTCTGCGATAACCATAACTTTTTCCTCCTTCCGGCCTCCACCTTTGATAAGTTTCTTCATATCGACCTCTGTTTACCTCTCGTTCATCTCGCCGAGTATAACCTTGACGGGCTCCTAAATACTGTTCTTCCTCCCATATCACCTCTTCTTCCACCTGTTCATCTTCTCTATTTTGATATTGCCTAGCGCGGCCCGTTCTCCAGGCATAATCCTCAGGTATCCTTTCTCCTATCCGCGGATTTGCTCCTCGTCCTCCGCCTTGATAGCCTCCCCTTTCTGGAGAACCCCTTGACTCTTGACAAAGTTGTCCTCTCCTCCCTTCATTTCTTCTATTTCCCCCCACCGTTGGAGGTGATAAAGGAATATAGCTAGGAAGAGGAGACAAAGAATCTCCTCTTCTGTTGGGTGATTGCTGCTCATTCTCTACAGAATGCCTTTCCTCTGCTCCACGTCTCCTTTGCCCTCATTCTAGATGTTGCCTATTCCTGATATCCTCCACTAACTGAATCAAAACTTCCCCAATGGTGTTCAGAGACCGACTCCTTCCACTGGATCAGAAAGAATCTTCCTCTCCTAGGTATCCTCCGTCGTCTTCCGCTCCCTCATCATGGTAATTGCTTGCCATGACTCAAGAAAATGCGTAGGAATCTTTTTACCTATTCCCACAGACGGCGCCAAATGTTCTGTATGAACATTAGTATGATTATTGTATGGTCCCTTCTGTTAGTTATGGTCTTTGGTATATATAACCCTTCCATAGGTGGTTATTGTGAACGTGGGTAGTTATAGAAACCCATCATGTAATCGTGGTAGGGCCCACTTTGGGTTATAGTATTTTGGCCGGCTTCCCTTCCGGGTAAAACCCCATCCGAGTTCTATCAACTCTTCTCCTTGACTATTGATACCCTGATGTATAAACCCGGAACAAAATCTATCTGCAAAGATTTCCTAGGGAATTTGAACTACTTCCTGATATGTGATTTCTTTCACCAGAGTACCAGAAACGTTAATATTTGTTTTTGGTGTAGAATTTTTTTTTTCCGTCATATTTACATAAACGAGTGAATCTTGTTATTGTAAAGTGAAAAGAAAAAAAAATTGTGAAGCCCACTTACTTTCGTGTGACTGTAGTAAAAAAATTCTGTCTACAGCAAAAACAAAAATATTTTTTTCAAAAGAACAATGTAAAAATTTAAATATTTTTGACATAGTAATTTTTTTAATTTGAATAGAGTCTACGTCTAAATAAACTATTGGTAAATCAATACGTTTTTGCAAGTAATGACGTGGTCTTATGGTTGGTGTCTGAAACTTTGTTAAGAACCAACTGCAGTGTTCATTTTTATATTTTGAGATGAGATAAATTTAAATTATGATGCGTTAGATACAAATTTTTAAGTTTTGGTCGTCATGTTCGAACTTTCTTGTAAGCTGACAGCAAATTAAGCTCAAAACAACCACATGAACTCGTTTTCTTATTAATTTTGAGCTTTTAGCCTTAATTTTGAATATGGAAATTACCAAAAAGAGTTACTACATGCAATAGTTGTCTAAGAATTTTGTATGGTAGCGGTAAAACAAAAAATTAAAAAATTAAAAAAAAAATGGCACCACTTTAACCAAGGGAAAGATTCAAAATATGTAACCACAGCTCCCCCTACGAAGACTTTACAGGAAAGAAAATTTTGATCCTCCCCACGAATCTCTTGAATAATTAACTTGAAATGCTCCTTCGATTGCAGCCTGCACTCCCCGAAAGATTGTACAATCGCCAAAAATCAAGCAACAACAGGCTTACAGCCACAATCCACGACTATTCCACTTTGTTCGCACAAGTCATAATAGCTGATTTCATCCTTTCTTTATCTAAAGAAGTTTGAACTATCACCTGCCCAAGATGATTATTCATTGATTAGGGTTAGATTGTACATGGATTTGTATGAAAATATGTGAATTCCATCAGTCATCCACCTGCATTTAGAAGAACAAGGAGACGAGAAGAAAAAAGTAGACCACCAAAAAGCATACACATAATAAGTGAACCTTTGTTTGGCAAAACCATAGTTGGGTTGTGCTTGAACATGATTTTGGGTCTCAAACCATTGTTCTGAGTGGAAGTGATTAAAAGTTATTTTTCAATTGGGTCAAACCATGATTTGCAATCTATAATCCAAAACCGTATTCACAAGCAACTGTTTGCAAACTGTTAAAATAGTACAGCAGAGTAAATTGCAGGGGAGTTCGAAAATTCTAGATTCTGAAGGAAAATGTCATGTCCCAAAGCAATGTTAAAAAGTAAATATATAAACAACTTGAGAAAAATCATCTCCCATGATTAAAAAAAGGACTACTAGTGGGAGGGAAGACATTTTTTGAATGATACAGCCAAATCTGTTTACCAAGAAGTTAAAACAGAATCTATACCATTACCTCTTGTATTCTGTTTCCAGATCGAGCAAGCAACTTGTACTGATTCTCGAACATGGATGCCATATAAACCTGGAACAATGTTAGGTTTGCATGCAGATAAATCAAGAACTCGAGTTTGCTAACAAATATCAAACTGATACTTGGAAACAAATGATAAACAAAAACAAAGCTGGTAAGATCCATACTAGAACAATAACCAAGCATTAAATAGCTTCTCTCATACTGTTATTTATGAACATATGAGGTTTCAGAGAACTAAGAGTTGGTCGTGTATTTGCCAAATTTAAATTTTAAGGACTTGTATCTAATAAACTGGAAGTGGCTGCTCAAAACAAGAACAAGTAATCACATAATCAAAGGAAAATGAAAAAAGGGGAACCCAAACAGGAATTTTGGACACAAACGATTTTCTAGTCGAGTAGTAGGTCAGCATTATTACATTTTCGACTAAAAAAATATAAGAAAACCATAAGAAGATTCTATAGGACAGTTGATTAATTTGAACCTCGATCTTTCACAAACCATATGCAGAATCCATAATGCACATCATTGCTAACTTGATGGCATGTTCTGACAGAATAAATAATGAGCTAAACCAGGGCTTTCAAATGAAAATAAAAGAAATGAAGATTCTATAGGACAGCATCAAGCAAATAATAAAATGAAAATCCACATTACAAGATTCATTAAATTATGCAGAGGTTTGAATATATGTATGCATACCTGAAAAGTTGGAGCTAAACCGGGGCTTCTGAAAAAACCGCCCTTTGAAACAGACTGGATTCCCTCAACCTTTTGCAATTCTTTGATAAGGCATTCCACTTCAGACCACTGTCCGAAAATGAGCATAATTTCATGATTAGTCGTGTCAAACCATGAAATCAACAGGACAATAAACAGATCCAACAGCCATGCAGTTATTAAATCATTACAAAAGGTATATGTTGATAAAAATTATTTATTATTTAAAGTGACTTCTGCTTCCTTATATAAAGATTGTTGAGATATATAGTCCCACATTGGTTGTATGTGCAACTAATGTGGAGTTTATAAGGCCTTGGGCACTCCCACCCTTTGAGCTAGCTTTTGGGGTGGTGTATCCCAAGATTCTTATCATGGTATCAGAGCCTCGCCGCCCCCCACTTTCTCTTGTGGCGTTTCTTAGCACAGGTAGGCTGGGCCTGTTGCATTGTCCACTCTTCAAGCCCAATGGGCTCTCGTGTGAAGGGGCGTGTTGAGATATATAGTCCCACATTGGTTGTATGTGCAACTAATGTGGAGTTTATAAGGTCTTGGGCACTCCCACCCTTTGAGCTAGCTTTTGGGGTGGTGTATCCCAAGATTCTTATCAAAGATTACCTCTGCATCTGCTTGAGCTGCTTCCAATCTCCCATCTAAGGGGTCATGATCCCCAACTACAGACTCTAAGGAATCCGTCAATGGATCAGGCTGCCATAGGAAGGTAATGATTTGTTAAATCAGTAAGTGTATAAACACTGCTTAGTCTAAGTAGACTTTGCTAAAATAATCTCCATAATTTCTCCCAAATTAAAGGAAACACTTGAAAGAGGAAATAACTAATAGATAAATTACCATGACCTCCTTCAATGATAAAAATATGCGGTCAAGAGCAAAGTTTAATTGTTGAACTTTTGCCTCTATAACCTGGACCAAAAAGTAAGCTTAAAAATAAATACAAAGAAGTAATATATAAAAGAATCTATTATCATTGGTACTCAATTGATTCCATCCATATTAAAAGTACTGAAAATGGATGGCAAAGTCATATAAGCAAAACAAATAATAAAAAAGGTAAACAAATTGTTCGTGGCTTGCATCCTTATTATTTATTTAGTCGTTGAAAATGATTCTCCACTTTATTGTCACACTGTCAAGGAGGAAGATACCTGACCAATCTTAAAATATGATGTTGGGTTCAAAGTGGCATCCCATGATAATTCTGACTGATGAATTAGCGCAGAAACTCCTTCAACCTACATTAATAACAGGACAATATTTAGAATTTTCTGTCACCTCTCCGAACCCAATTCCATGAAAGGGTATGCGGGCGCTTAGCTAAATATGTTTGTAAAACTGAAATCCATATTACTAACATCAAATGCTTTATATACCTCAACAAAAATTCCAAAGTAACTTATCTTCTGGATGCAGCATTTCACTATATCCCCGACTTGAAGTCTAGCCTGCCATGAGAAACAAAAAACGAATCTGAAGGCCACTTGGTTTTTGCATTCAATCTACAACACATGCTCCATGCTAATTCAAGAATGGTTATTGTTACTAAAGCATCTACCATAAGATTTCTCTTCTTCTCAACTAGTTCTTCCTTCTCTTTTGGTTTCACTGACAATATGAGCTTTCTCAATTTTCTGTCTGCCAATAACACATTTGCTTTAATTTTCTGCAAAACATATTATTATTATATTAATATTAAGCATGATAACATTCAAGTTTCACCTGTTCCAATATAACTTCAGGAATATATTTGGACAGTGTATTTATGTTTTGAATACCAAACCTGCCCAATAAATGATGATAAGAACTTGATTTTCTCTTGGTCATAAATCCTTAGCAGATCTTCCAATTTCATATCTGGTGAAATTTTCTCTTCAACTGTATTATCAATCTTCAGATTTGGAGGAAAATTAGGAGAAAAATTCTTATTTTCAGCATCATCACTTGTAATAGTGCCTAAATTTTGCTTGTACATTGGCGGATCCAAGCCCTTCTGTTTTAACCATGACTCAAAAGCTAAGAACTTCCACTTGGAAGTAAGATTACGGTATGGCAGAAATCCTAATAAGGAACCAAAAGAAACCTGTGAAATGGTTGAATCCAGTTCAGAAGATATAGACGAAGAAAAAGTCATCGGTGACTAAGAAAATGATTTTTTATTTACAAATTAAAGTTCCCCATACTGCTTTCTAAGTACTTACAATGAAACCTTTGGTACTACAGCTTACTAGTTCCACATCTTCTCTATCTCCAGTCTTACTCAACTCTTCTGCCCTGGTCCAATCAGCATCTCCGCCTTCCTACAAAATTAAAGACCGCAAAGGTTAACACGAAGTTTAGGGCAATAGATAAATAACTCATACAATCCATATAATCTGACCTGAAAATCTGACATAAAAACAAGATTCCCTAATTCCTCGTTGTTCCTGTGACCTTCAGGATTACGGAAAGAAGTCTCTTCTCCAACAATTTTTGAAGTTTGTTCCACATATTGATCTAATCTATAACAAAAATACATTTAAGTAATGAAATGTAACTGGAATTGCAACCACAAACTGAATCATACAACCGTAAAACTATTTTCATATACCTTTTCGGCTTTCCCTGTAGTGCAGCTTCCCCAGACAACTCCACTCCAGAATCAACTGAATTTAAATCAGACAGTTGACTTAAATCAGTCGGCTTCTGATGGAACTCTAGATGTCTCTGATCATGTTGCTCCGAAACCTAATTAATCAAGCATGAAATCATTTAAACCCTAGCCTTACATTACAAAATTCTATATTGCAATGACGATTAGAACCTACATCATTTGGGACTATGACTTTGGCATCCCCAAGCTGCTCATCTCCTTTTCTGCCACTTGGTTTGCGTGGCTGTTCCAACAAGGTCAAGTTACCAATTTCATCACGCGGCTCTTCTCCCCTCATCTTTAACTCATTATCATTGTTCCTTTGGTCATCCAAATGAGAAGAAGGCTCTTGGTTCGTATCATCATCCTTGGCAATTGATGGTTCAGGCTTCCTCAATAGTATCATATCACTAAACTTCTCCTTTGCTTGCTCATTCCGCATTTGTAGAGACAAATTCGGTCTTATTCTGAACCTCGAGGACATGTCTTCATCATCATCCTCTTTATACACAAATGGCTTTCTCAGAATAACATTACGAACACTACTCTTTTTAACATTCCCTGTCTTACTTTCAGCTTGGCCAGGTTTCTTAATCTCCAATGCAACTTTGTTATCATCAGGTTCAGGTTTAAATTTTGCTCCTTTCATCACAGGTCGCACCAAACCCACGTCATCCAATTTATTTGATAACTTCTTTTCCTTAGAACCTTCAAATGGAACTTCTTCAACTTCTACAAATTTACCCTTCTTACCCTTCTTATTATAAAAGGCTTTCTCAATATCAAGATAAGAAGCATCAGGATTGGCCTTTCTTCCCATTATCTAAAACAAACAACAAGTGTATAGTGATATTGAATGAAGTGATTAATACAAGGTTGAATAATGCATAAGTTGAAGTAAGGAAGAAAAGAGAAGAGATGAACCTTGGCAAGGGTGAGTTTTGGGTCCTCTCCAAGTAAGCGACCGAACTTGAGTTCCATCTGGTCGTAGCTGTTGAGTTGAATGGGTTCTTCTTCTTCTTCTTCTTCCTGTGAACGTGAGGCAACGAACTTGGGTCTTTGATTCAGATAAAGGGTTCTCGATGTTGGTCTTCTTCTTCTTCTCTCTGATGAAAACCAAGGAAGCTGGGTTCTGCTGGTGAAGAAGGATTTACTAGTGAGAGCAACAAACCCCATTTTTCTCACAATTTCAATTTGCAATCGATTATTAATAATATTATTATCATCAAAAGTTCATAATAATTTTACACAGAATCTGTGAATTTGGTTTTGGATAAACGACTAGCGAGTAGTGAGAAGAGGATTATCCCGCACATGGTGACGTGGCTTCCGGTCCAATTTTTTTGCCTTTTTAAAGATTAACTTAATTAATAAATCGTTTTAGTTATTTAAAAAAGAAATAAAATTAAGACTTAAAGCCCTAATGAAAATGCAAGTTAAAAAAATTAATTAAATTATACAAAATCATTTCAAACATGAGATAGAATATGTTACTAACAAATGGGGTGTGCATGATAATCATTATATTCTCTGATACTGTTTCTATTTCTGTGCCCTAGAACAGCTTTTGAGGAAAAAAAAATATGTTTGATGATTTGTTCTATTTTTATTCCGAGAATGAGAATTGTGCTTGATAACACAACAAATAATATAATAAAAAATAATTCATATTAAGTTGATCCAATGTCACTACCACTTTGTTTCACTGTTATATTGATTATGTTAATCCAACGGTTATGATTTAACTTTCTAAAAACCTTTTTTCTTCTCTCTATGTTTAATACTTTATATTTATTTTCACCTTTGTATGGTTACAATGGCGAACCTGTTTGGTCACCTATGGTCGCAAGTGCGAACATAAATCCCTGAAATTTTTTTTTAAACATAGTAATAAAGCATGATGTTGGTTAGATTAGGCTTTGCTTGAATATATAATGAGGGATGGAATGAAAATGAAGGGAACACGGTGGGATAGAATGGGATGCTATATATTTTATTAGATATTTTATGATGTCATACAACAAATCAGCTTGATTAAAAAAAAAAAAGTGTTGGAAATAATTTTTTATGTCAAATTGAAGTTTTTTTTTATTTTTATTTTTTATTTTTAATGCATTGAAAATTTTCTTTAAAAAAAATTTGAAGGCGCTGCCCCCAACCCCATCACTAAATGTGCAGACATAAATAATATTTTTTGAATCCGCCACTATATGGTTATATTTCTCCATATTTAATGCTTTCACATTAAATATGAGGAATCATAATCTTATAAAGGTGAAAATAAATATAACCATTAGATCAATTATATTGATCTAACGGTGAAATAAAGTGATAATGAAATTAATAATAACTATAATTAATAGTAACAATATCTTATCTCTTCAAATATTGTGATAAAATATCATTACCCTTTCCTGAGTCCTACGTTTGCAACAAATAAAATGAGATTGAAATGCTTACCAAAAAAAAATAAAAAATGAGATTGAAACAAAGAAAGAATGAAGTACATTTGAAATGACTGGGGCGTACATAACTTTGGCTTGAAAAGGCATGTACATCACTACATGCCCCCCAAAAACAGGACGCTTATTTATAATCTACCATCAATGTTTGTTTACAAATGAATCACATAATAGCACTTTCGCAGGAATCTTGCCAAATAACATAAAGCCTTTAGTCACCACCCAAATCAATCAAGAACAAAATGGGGTTTGATGAAGCCAACGGTCCAAAAAGAAATCATACACAGACACAAGTGAAGCCCCCTTTGCACAATTGTTCCATCAACTACTGGTCTTGCGTGATGACAGCAGCAGCCTCTTCTTCTTCTTGTTCTTCTTCCTTTGGTGCCTCTGTATCTGATGTAGGCTCAGATTTCTCCTCAGCTTGTTGCGTTACATTTTTCTTCAATGAAGCTGTCTTGGAGAGATAACTATAGCTACCTTTCTCCTTGAACAATTGAGAGAAGTGTGGCTTGCAATAAAGGAATCCATCAAGAGCAGCATAGGATGAAGGGGTGAGGAAGCATCCTCCATGTGTACACCTAAAGCATGATTTGTGGTAAAACTCACCCTCCACTGTCAACTGTCATAAACAGAATTCATAAATTAACAAAGGGTCCCCCAGAAAGCATGGATCATAAACAATGTGAATTACTCAAACCTTTTCCAATGGATATACGGTTTTCTTGCATGATGTACATTTCTCTTGAGTCCCAGAGAAGAATGCAGAGAGTTTGCTTGGTGCCCTAGACTGTAAACAACAGAAAACAACGTAAATTGTGAACACGAGTTGAAAGACATATACAAACTAATGATTTTTTTTTTGACAAAAATTACTCAAGCAAACAAAAGGTTGAATACATACCAGCTCGTTCGGAGGCTTTCCAGCTGATTGAAAATTATGAAACAAGATTATGATTAGTACACAATAACTAGCTAGTACTTATAATTTTAAATAGAAACAACCAAAAAAGGGGTCTTACATGACTGCATTTTCTTGTTGAAGGTGCCAGCTTCCTTGTAAAGTTGTTCAAAATGAGGCTTGCAATACAAAACTCCTTCCATAGATGAGTAGTTGCTCATCTGTAATGTAAACACCATAAGATAGAAAGGCTTTAATTAGGTTTCTGACTCCATGATTTTTGTTTAATATTGTTGCTTAGATGGTACGGTTTCTCCTTAGTCCTTGAATTATTTTTTTTGGAAATATTCCAATTGATTCATTACTTCGCAACTAATCTGATTCGGGGCGGATCCAGGATTAAGGCTTTAAACCCCTCCCAAAGGTGGTACGGGAGAAATTAGAACACATGCTCTCATCCCCACCTGCTTAGTTCCCATGCGCCAACCGAGCTACCACCGTTTGGTAAATATTCAAATCTTAGTCCTTGAATTATTAAATAATATAAAAATTTATGAATTTTCGAACATAAGCAAAAATAAATAAATATGTAAAAGCAGAAAGTAATTAATTAGATGCATGATGAAGGGGACGTACGGCAAGCTGGCCATTGCAATGACTACATTTGAAGCAGTTCTTGTGATAATTAACACCATCAGCAGATAATTGTTCGATGATGTGAACAGTCTTATCGCAAGCCTTGCATTTCTGTTGGGTCCCGCTGAACGACATTTTATTTTTTCTTTGTTTTTTTTTTCCTCTGCTCGTGTGGCAATAGCTAAGTCAAAATCAAATCGACAACAGAATTAACTTGTGTTGGAATACAAAGCCAGCACACGCAAGAGGGTTCAGCTAAAACACCCAAGGGAGTTCTTTCTCTCTATCTTTAACACTTTACGACGAAAATGAGATCGATTCTATGATCCTCCAGCGTCTCTTGTAGATGTTGTCAAGTGCGAAATAAAAGGTACAAAAAATGAAAAGGATGAAATGGGTGGAGAAGGTGCATTCAGTTAATTGTTGACAAATAATGCAAACACACAAGTTTCATCGCATATTGGATTATCCTCGTCTAATTATAGGACTCTAATTATGAGGGGAAATGTATATGAGACAGGAAATCCTTTGACCAAGTTCGGATTGCCTTTGACCAAGAGTCTGTTGATTGGAACTTTTGGAAGATGATATACTTCTATTATAAACTAGGAGCAATGCTTAGGTTTGGAAATCCCATTCAAATGCGTGGCTCCCGCAGGTACACTCTATTTTTAACGGTATTATAACGATTTATTTGGGGGAGTAAATAATTATATGGAAAAAAAAGTATCTAATGTTACTTTAGACATCTTTGTCTAATGTTCATCAAAACGACGTTGTTTTGAGGTTGAAAAATTAAAAAATTAGAATGATAAAGACTATTATAACCCTGAAATAAATTAATATTTCAAAAACACCATGATTTTCGTCCCAAACGACGTCAGTTTGGTGAACATTAGATAAAATTATCTAAAGTAACTTTAGAAAACACAAATCCATAATTATAATATTAAATTTATTTTTTCTCTTTTATCAAAAGTTTGTTAGCTGACATAAAAAAAATTAATATTAAAACTATGTATTTCTCAAAATACATAGTTATAATATCATAATGCAACTCTTGCGGTACAAATTTGTTGTTGGGATAGAGTTGCCGAGCTATACAAGAGGGGCTACGGGTTTGAAATCAATTATCTCAGATTACTGAGGCAAGTCATATACTTAAAAAGTTATTAAAAAAATTATCTACAAAATCGATATAATTGGATTGATTTTAATCGTTATTTATCATTCGGACCCACAATAGTTTACGAGACTGGCATGTTAAAAAGTGAGACAAAAGCATTTTTTTGGGACTTTTGGCAGAAGAATTATTTAGTTAAAGTTGATTAGATATTTATAAAAAAAAATTGATTAGATAAATTTTTCGAAACTAATGCAGTCAAACATGTTAACGATAGTGACGGAACTAGTCTCGTCAATAATCCTGATAGGACTGATGCCACATCAGCACCACGTAAGCAATGTCGTTATCGTAAAACTTCATAAGGCCATAATTTTTAACTCGGGTATCCAAATCAAATGATTTTTTTTATTTCACATAACTTTTGGAGATCTACGTAGTGACACTTCATTTGACATATTTTATCTCCCACAAATATAATTTGAATCTGCAACAATAGCTCCACAATCACAAGAGCATTTAAACTCAGAAGTTCATGAGTTCTTTCCGAACCAATACCATGAATTGTAGCATATGTCATCGATTGACATGTTTTATCTATGTTAACGATGTTATTTAATTTCTTTTCGTATTTTTCAACTATACAACAATAACAAATAATGACAGTAGTTTTCTCTCCATCAATGCGCACAAACAACAATGGATAATAGCGTTCCTTCTTACAGAAAGTCTTAAAGTACTTATTTTGTTGTTGAAAAAATCATTGGCTTAGAGACTAACTGTAAAAAAATTAGACCAAGAGATCGATGACATGCACTACAGCTCATGGTGTTGGTTCATAAAAAACTCAGGAGCTTTGGGTTTAAATGCTCTTGTAATTATAGAACTATTGTTGCAAATTTAAATTATGTTTGTGGGAGATAAAATATATTAAATGAGATGTCATTGTGTAGTTTTCGAAAAGTTATGTGAAATAAAAAAAAATCTTATTATTATTATACTTGATCACAATTTACTATAGAATTTTACTTTTGTAATCAATAAATTTATTATGAGGATAAGTTCCAATGCATGCAGTATGAAGGCAGGAGGGGACATTATATTATGTAAAACTTTAATCAAAAAATATTTAAAGAGTGAAGACATTTACTTCACTTTATATTTTTTATGTAGATCTGCCTCTATTTGATTTTATTAAACCGAATGACGTTTGTATATATATAAAAAAAACTTATATTATTATTGTAGTTTGCTTATTCATTAAAATAAAGTGCATGTATTTAGATATATAATTTAATTTTTTTTATTAATTTTAAAAGTAATGTAAATTTTTGTATATGCAAATTTCATTGGCTGTCATTTATTACAAATAAATATTTGGGATGAAACAACACACCAAAGCAAAGTTTAGAAGTATAACAACACAAAACCAAGCCAGTGAGAGTTTGGTCTTTTTATGGAATCAAATATATTACTTTCCTTTTCCCGTCTTATTAATGGAATAACGACAATTTAAACAAAATTAATAACTAAGAAAAAAATATTATTACTTAAATGAGATGGAAATTCTGTTGAAGCATGCAAGAAGTTTCCTTGATGGATACCCATGGGTACGAAACTTTGAAGCGGTCTCCTCTACCTCGACGAATTCTTCTCCTCTTTGAGCTTCAACTATTGCCCTTTTCTCTTCTGCTGATCGATGAATTTCAGCAATTTTATTCTGCATTTTTTCAACATACTCAGCCTTCTTTCTTTCTAACTTTTCCTGTTAAATACAAAAAGTTTTCATGTAACATTTGGGGTCATAAAAAAACAACCAGTAAAATTGATGCATTAATTGAATACTATTATGACCTCATTTATTTTTATTTTTGCCTCCACAGATGCTTTCTTACTATTCTCCCACATTCCAACAGCAGAATGCATCTTATATGCCCTGTATGACAGTCTCGCATAAATCAAAATCTTGACATTAGATCAATTATTCTTGGACTACAAAATAACACATACAATTTGTGGAAGAAAAATCAGTTAACAAAAGTGTTAGATGGTATCTTATTCTTACCTGTTATCTACTTTTGTCTTCTCACTTTCTTCCCATGCTTTGATTAAAGCCAATCTTTTCTCTGCTTCAACTTTTGCAAGCACAGTATCTGATTGAAAAATATAAGTTACTCATGTCTTAAATATTCAATGACTAAATACACATATTTTGGGAAACCAACCTCTGCTAACTGAATCCTGTGTATCCGTTCTAGCAGCAGGAACTGCAACCTCAATAAGAAAACACATTACTGGTTGAATAAATAGAATAGTAGCATTGAAGAAAACATGTGTGCAAACAAAAGTAGATAATAGGAACATAGTTAAACAAGATAAAATTGAAGTTTTAGTGAAGAAAAAAAAGGAGGAGGGACCTCTATTCTGTAAACACAAGCGATAAATTAAGGTTTCTAATAATAATAAGGAAATTTTTTCTCTAAAATAAAATTGATCTGAGAGACTTACTTTGATCAAGTTGAGAAGTTGCCTGGTCTTTAGGAACATGGATCACGCAGTGCTCTTTTCTAACACTGCTTGAACTTGAAGTGTCTGCATTCTCCGGTTCCTTTCCTTTGAGGAAAAGGGAAAGCTCTTGTGTGGGAACAGAGCCCGCAGACTGTGCTTGTAATTTTGTTTCTTTGTTCTCCTCTTCTCCCATGTCGCATGTAGTTTGTATTCAGATTCTATCAAACTTGAAAATGTAGCAAAACTTAAGCTTTGTGTGCATTTTATACTACTTATTTTTATATGTTGGTGGTAATTGTTCCAATCATATGTTTGGTCAGAACCTGAGGTATTTTCATAGAAGAATTTTCGAACTATAGTATAATGAACCACCGAATAAACTAAACTAAATGTTTAGCATATGAGATGAGTGAAGGGAGTTAATGGTGAGCTGGAACAAATGAAAATAATAATTAATGAGCTTAATTAGCCACTGCAAGGTATCTCTTAGCCCAACCGAACAGCTTTGGCTAAACCGAATTACAATGAATAACTTATTTCCTATTATGTTTGTACAAAATAATAAAAAAAAATGATTTACTTTTATAAGAAGCATTTGATTTTTCGGTAAATGATCAAGGCGTTAACCCTGGCTCATCAGGAATGGCTGATGGGTTATGATTACGGTTAATCACTTGCCGATTGAATTGAACCAGAGAATATATACTCTGTTCTATAATTTTTTTTGGATAAATAATCTAGTGGTATCCTCAAACAATCTTCTCATGTCATCTTGTTATCAGATGCTCCTAAGACTAGCTCTTCATTGAAATAGACGGTACATTGGATTACTATCATCTGAAGAAGGTATTACTAATCTCCGTCTGAGGGAGAGGCTGTTGGTCCCAGATGAACTCAAGAGGGGTGAATTGAGTTTATAAAATTTTCGTCTTTTTTTAAAAACAAAACCAGATTTCCAAAGATAATAAATAGAAAATAAAGCATATCAATTTACGTGGAAAAACCTCCTTGGCTCGAGAGGAGTAAAAACTCACGGCACCAATTTGGATAAACTCTCCAATTGGTCAAAAACACTTCACTAAAAGAGCCAAAAACAATAGTACAAGGTTAGCCCTACACTACTCTTATACAATTCACACCCAATTCTGAATGACTACTCAGCCACCCAAATGACACTTCACCAATAACTCACCTTCCGTCAACTCAGACAGAATAGCTTAACTCTAAGCTAACAAAAAGATTTAATAATAGAAATACCATGTGTTTTTTTTTTTTTTTTGATAACAATACCATGTGCTTTTTGAATAAGGCAGATAGGTAATTTGAATTCTTATGGAAAAATATTCACTTCGCCAAAGGATGAATGCACAAGAAAGAATCCTAATCTTGAAAATCTAATTCTCTCTTTTCTTTCTTGTATTTTCTCCTCAATGAATATTATATTTTCTCCACACTTGAATAATGAACCCTATCTATAATAATAACATTTTCTCTTTCCTAAAAGCCCAAAAGGTATAATATTTAAATTTAAAATCTTTTCCAAAATCTAATCAAAAATCTTTTACTCTTGAATGAAATTTTAAATGCAACTTTCAAAAATAAGATTTCTGATTTTTTCAAATGAAAGATATGTAAACCTTAAATATCTTATTCTATTATGCAATGCAATTCTAATTTAAATCTTTGGCAAAAATATTTTATTTCTCTTTTACATGAAATCTAAAAAGATAAAATTTATCATCATCTTTACTTGATTCCATGTTTTTATCTCTCTTCATGATATCTTTCATATCTTCTCCAATCTTCATGCAATCTTCAATTATCTTGAATACTAATTCAAATCAGAATAAATATTATTCTGAAATCTCAAACAATCAGCTCATTAATAATTTCAAAATATTATCAATTAAATTAACAATTAATTGATTGTAATCATCAAAACATATTTTAAATCAATTAAACAATTGGGGTATAACAAATATCCAACAGAGACTATTTTTCTCTGACCCCTAAAGAATTTCAAAAATTTGTTTTGATAGTTTGAACTATTTACTAAAGCAAATCCTTGACCACTAAGTTACTAACTGAGCTACCTATAAGATTTCTTTTTTCTATAATTTATCAATTAGAAAATTTTCTTTTTTAAGAATTTTTGGAAGGCAACCCAATTGTGAATTATTATTATATATAGAAGTATGTCCGTTGATATGCATGATGTCGCACTATCCTGTGATAAATGCAATGGATTGATAAATAGGAAAAATGCCAACTAATTATACTCGATAGGAAATTTTTTTGATAGTAGTTAGAATTTGTTAAATATTCAATTATAATTGTTGAATAGGCAAAAGCAATAGAGATTATTCATTTACCTTTCAAACAAGCATTATAATAAGAAATTATGTTCATTTAATATTTATCTATTGCATCATCTACTGACGCTCATATAAAGGGTTATATTTCTGCATTTTTAAAGTGAGACTAGCATACCCTCGTGGTAAAGGACTTTACTCCCATGCAGAGCATACCTTACACCTCATGCATCATCACTGGCGGAGTAAGGATAGGAGGCAAAAATTAATCTTTTGTCTTCTATAATATTAGTGTTTTTTTCACACTTTCATAGAACTCATTTAGGTATTTTCTTGATTTTTTTGACCCTTTTACCCTTCATTAATTAATTAATAACCATTTTGTCCCTCATTTAAAATTATCTACCAATCTGTCTCTCTTTAATCGATTAAGTTGAAGATTTAATCGATTAAATGGTCAAAACTGACAAAAATAGTTGACTTGAAGATTTAACGATTAAATCTTCAACTTAATTGATTAAATATCCAACGAGCAACAAAGAAAAGCCTATTGTTAGACGAAAGTGGTGTTTGGGGTGAGAAACACTGACACTGACACGAAAAAATGGTCTGTTATTACTGTTCAACGATCAGAATTCTAAAGCAATTTACACTACTTCAAAACACGATTCCTATCATGATATACCTTTCAATTCTCAAATTGAATCAAACAAATATTGTGTTAAATAAAAATAATCCAAAAATCGTCGAAGCTTTCAGTTAACGATAATGGCATTAATTAAAGCAAGAAAGGAAAATTCATTTTAATACAGAGAAGAAAGATAAAAGTGACAAAGGCTGAAAAAGTTGAGAGTTGAGAGACGGAGGCTGAAAAACGATGCAAACAAAAAGGAAAAAGATTAAAATGTGAAAACAATGGCTAAGAAGTAGAACATAAAACAAGAGGAACGCACCCCAAACGCCACACCGCAACTCAATATGCTTTTCTTTGTTGCTCGTTGGAGATTTAATCGATTAAATCTTTAAGTCAACCATTTTTACCAATTTTGAACATTTAATCGATTAAAGAGGGGAAGATTGGTAGATAGTTTTGAAGGAGGGGGAAAATGATTATTAATTAATTAATGAAGGGTAAAAGGGTCAAAAAGCCTTACCAAAATATTAACATTTAACAACATTTTAAAGACTGAAAAAATGTACTATTGGCCAGGTTCAACAAAGATAAAAGTAGTTTAAAGCAATAATTAAAAGAAAAAAAATGGAGAATGCCTTCATTCAACATTAACATTATTTAAAATAGTGCTTTTAACTACAATTTTTTTTTTTAAAAAAAAAACAACGATTGCAACCAAGTTGCACTAAAAAAGTGAATCTTTTAAGTTAAAGCACACTTATTTTCTCTATACGAAACCACTACGCAAAGAGAAACACAATCATGCAAATAAAAAGAGAGCAAAAGGTTGGCAAAAAGGCCAAAGCTTTCATTGACCAAAACATAGCAAATGAAGATAAAAAAAGTAAATGCATAAAAAGGGTACACATAACACACATTAGGTGAAGTGGAGGTAAATTTCAACTTGAATCTCAAACCAGAACTTTCAGAAGAAGCACGTTTAGCAGCAACAACAATACCATGATCCCAAACCCTTCTAGCAGAATCAAAACTCAACTTCCTTATCTCCAAACCCTCCTCCACAACACGGTTCACCTTAAAAGATGGTGACCCTCTCTTTATCTCATCCCTCTTCTTGAAAAAACTACTACCATTGTTATTGCTAGTGCTAGTGTTAGTTTTAGTGTTACTCTTGTTATTTCCCTTCTTGGCTCTTGTGAAAAGAACCTTTGAAGTTGTTGCAATAATGTGCAATGAGTCACCGAAAACCAAGTCAAAACTCAACTTTCTCATCTCCAAACCCTCCTCCACAACACGGTTCACCTTAAAAGATGGTGACCCTCTCTTTATCTCATCCTTCTTCTTGAAACAACTACTACCATTGTTATTGCTAGTGCTAGTGTTAGTTCTAGTGTTACTCTGGTTATTTCCCTTCTTGGGTCTTGTGAAATGAACCTTTGAAGTTGTTGCAATAACGTATTCATAGAGCTTTACTAATATTCGAGTTGTCCCCTTACAGTTTGATGAACATCATTAGAACGCTTTGCGTTTGGGGGGCGGTTCCAGCGTTGCAACATTTAATCGACCCAGTGACCCGATGATAAACTGCCTGGTTTTCTCTTTAAACCGAATTTTTAAAATAAATGTTCGAACCAGCCCTTTGGAGTGAGGGGTGCCACCATTTACCACTAGGCAACTCAAACTTGTTGAATGATATACACCGTTTAATATACTTATTATATAATTAATAAGTTAATAGAATTCTTTCAAAAATTGCATATAGTGGGGATCAAACCCTTGCATTTGAAGATATATAGTACTTACCACTAGACTACAGTAGGTTATTGTCTAAATTGCACCATTTAAAATATTTATTATATAATTAAGTATAAAATATAAATTTATATACATATATCTGGGTCATGCAGTTCAACCCGTGACCCACTTATTGAACCATTGACTCAGTACCCTGGCCGAGTTAATGACCGGTCCGGTTCTGATAACGTTGCCTTCAACTGCATCAAATTTTTTTTGGGAGGGGGGGGGGGGTTAGGGGTCGCCCACCCTGGCTTCTTCCTTATGCATCATGTCATTGTGTTTGCCTCACACATAGTGGACCCATAAAGACAAAACAGATATGGCTTATCATTAAGAAATTTTCTCTACCTATATATACCTTCCTTCAACTATAGAGGAGTCACCTTTTACATGGTCTTCATTAAGTTGTTATGTTGCAGAACTGCCTCCACATAATTGTTGTGCCCTTCA